CCTACCAAAAGAATCAACAAATGTGACAAATGATGACGGTGAGAATCGGTATGATGAAAAAGAGGACGAGAATCTTTATGAGCTTGCAAAGAAAATATCTGAATTCAAGGACCTTACCAAGGAAGAGCTTGATAATTGGGTACAAGTTGATAAATTGGATGAAGAAGAGATATCAAACCGCGAATTAGTTGACCTTACGAGTGAAAAGAATGACAAGGATGTGCAGGTGAGGATAGTGACTTAAAGGAGGAAGAGAGCAAGAAAATCACAAATAGTGAAGCAATTGATTGCTTCCAGAAAGCACTGATTTATATTGAACAGCAGTCTGAAACTACAGCCACCGACCTTTTTTTGATTCGAAGATGGAGAAATATTGCTGTTAAAAATTTACGTTGTAAAACAAAACAGTCCACACTAGATTCTTTTGTTAGTTTTTTTTAGATTCTTGTTGATTTTTAAATACATACATACTTATGTACGTGTATTATGTACTTAATATATATTATGTACGTACAACATTATTATAATTTAAGAGATACATAATGTTTTTTTTTCCTTTGGTTAGAATCTACCGTTTCTTTTATTGATGTTTTATTACTTGTGTGAATATGGTATTACATAAATATTTAGCATTTAAAAATATTTTGCATTTTTTACTTTCACCTCCGCTATATCCGAAATTTCGATTATCTGAAACGAGTCCGGTCCCGCACGTTTCGGATAATCGGGAGTCTACTGTACTATGTTAAGGTGTACGCGCACTGAATCGGTACCAGTCCGGCGAAGGCGGTGACTCGACTATCGTAGATAGGTAGAGGTAGGAATCTGGCCTCTACAGGCCGAAATGTTGTAGTGGACGCCGGCGCCGTCTATATGTACGATGGTCGCAGTCGCTTTTGCTGGTCGGTCCGATCCGATGCAGTGCGCGCCCTCCTTTACGGTTAAGGTCCGAAATAAAGTTAATCTCAATATTAGAATAAGTCTAATCGAGAATAACACAAAACAAAACAACCAAAAAACAAAATCAAACCCAAACATTAACTTGTTAATATCGAAATTAACCGGATATCGAACTTTAACCGTAACATATTATACAGGGTGGTCCGAACTGTATTCCGGCAGCATATTCTGCAAATAAAAATAAGTAAAAAAGTTCGTATAAATGGACGTCCTAAAATGCTTAGTTTCAGAGATACAGGGTGTTGACATTTCATTTTTATTTCGATTTTTTTCAAATAATTTCTGAAGTAAAGTCAATATTTGAATGAAAATTGGTGTCTGGGAGCTTTTTGACAAGCAAAATTTGATTTTGATGTCAATATGACTCCTACTTGTAGAGGGCGCCACCTACATATTTTTTGACTGATTTTAATAAATTTTCGTCCGTATTTGTGTAAAACTAGTGAGTAAAAAAACATATATTTACGACGTTTTTTACGTAAAAAAGGACTCTTGGTAAAAATCGCTATGAGTAATGGTTCTCGAGATATTTGGAATCGAAATTATTAATACCTCATCATTGACATGAATTATACATGTTGACTGAATAGTTTAACCGAAATCATTAATTTGAAATGTTTTTGTGCCAAAACTTCAACAGAAACTGTTTTATCACCATTTTTGCGAAGAAAAATTTATGATTAATTTTAAAAAAATAAAAAGTTCCCAAATTTATCATTTCAGTCATACAGCTATCTACTCAACATATGTTTATTTTTAGTCAATAATGACATGTATTGACTATTTCCATTCTAAATATCTTGAGAAGGGTTGCTCGTAGCGATTTTTACCAAAAGACATTTTTTAAGTAAAAAATCGCGGAAATGCATATTTTTTCACTCAGTAGTCCTATATAGGTACGGACGAAAAGTTATGACTCATCAAAACAGTTAAAACTGTAGGTGGCGCTCCCTACAAATAAGAGTCATATTGACATCAAAAACAAATTTCTCATGTCAAAAAACTCCCAGACTTCAGAAATTATTTGGAAAAATCGAATAAAAATTAAATTACAACACCCTGTATCTCCGAAACTAAGCATTTTAGGACATACATTTATACGAACTTTTTTATTTATTTTTATCTTCATAGTATGCTGCCGAAGTTTCCGGAATACAGTTCCGACCACCCTGTATATTATGTAGGTACACATGTAGCAAGTATATTCATGAATTCATGCGTTAATATGATACAAAGATAACAATAATCTTTGCTGGAGAACAGTGTTGCCCGATGGAAAAAATAAAAAGTGGTATCGAGTATTTTAAAAAATGGTATTGACTGAAAAAAAATGGTATTTTTACTTTTAAAGAGGATCTTAATATTTTTATAATTTTGATACTATGATTAACAGTGGATTAACCCCAAAAACCAAACGAACCTCAATTTGGTTTGAAAACATCGTAGCTGTTGGTTGTCACATCAGTTTTGAACTCTTGCGCAAGGCATTTAAGTTTTTTTTAACATTTTTTTTATGCAAAATAATAATAAAAGACATTTTAAATAGGTATAATTAATATAATAATAAGGTAATAGGAACATTTTGAATAGATAGGTAACATAAAATATATTATTAATAATTCAACATTAATAATCTACATATTTGGCTGTGAAAATATAGGTAAAACCATAGACTTAGAATAAAATAGGTAAAACTTTTCAAGAAATAATACCTATAAAAAAAATAATAGAGATATGGAGATAGCCTAATAGAGATGTGCTTCATATTTTTAGTAGATGTGGAAAACTAGATTGGTTTGCATTAAAAAGTTTAAAAAATGTAGATCGCTGGGATTCTAAAAAAATTGAGAAAAATGGTAACGTCTTCAAAAAATGGTAGAAAATGGAAAATGGTATACTCAAAATTTTTGCAGGTATCAAGGAAGAAAAAATGGTATAGATACCATTTAAATGGTATATCTGGCAACACTGCTGGTGAACAATAAAACTTAATATTTTGTTAAAAATTTTACGTAAAAATTATACAGGGTGGTCCGAACTGTATTCCGGAAACTTCAGCAGCATATTCTGCACATAAAAATAAGTAAAAAAGTTCGTATAAATGTATGTCCGAAAATGCTTAGTTTCGGAGATACAGGGTGTAGAAGTTTCATTTTTATTTCGATTTTTTCCAAATATTTTTTGAAGTAACATCAATATTTGGATCAAAATTGGTGTCTAGGAGTTTTTTGACATGAGAAATTTGATTTTGATGTCAATATGACTCCCACTTATAGAGGGCGCCACCTGCATATTTTTTAACTGGTTTGAAGAGTAATAACTTTTTGTCCGTACCTGTATAAAAATACTGAGTAAAAAAATATACATTTACGACGCTTTTTACGTAAAACAAGTCTCTTGGTAAAAATCGCTACGAGTAATGGTTCTCGAGATATTTTGAATCGAAATTATCAATACCTCTCATCATTGACATAAATTAAACATGTTGACTAAATATTTATTACACTGAAATCATAAATTTGAAATGTGTTTGTGCCAAAAGTTCAACAGAGACTGTTTTATCATCATTTTTTCGAAGAAAAATTTATGATTAATTAAAAAAAAAACAAAAAGTTCCAAAATGTGTATTATTTCAGTCAAATAATTTATCTACCCAACACTTTTATTTTTTGCCAATAATGATACGTATTGACTATTTCCATTCTAAATATCTTGAAAACGGTTGCTCGCAGCGATTTTTGCCAAGAGACATTTTTTACGTAGAAAATCACGGAAATGTATATTTTTTTACTCAGTAGTTTTATACAGGTATCTACGGACGAAAAGTTATTACTCTTCAAAACAGTTAGAACACATGTAGGTGGCGCCCCCTACAAATAGGAGTCATACTGATAGCAAAATCAAATTTCTCATGTTAAAAAACTCCTATTCACCTATTTTCATCCAAATATTTACGTTGCTTCAAAAATTATTTTGAAAAAATCGAAATAAAAATGAAACTTCGACCCCCTGTATCTCCGAAACTAAGCATTTTTGGACATACATTTATACAAACTTTTTTACTCATTTTTATCTGCAGAATATGCTGCCGAAGTTTCCGGAATACAATTCGGACTACCCTGTATATTAAACGTATTATTTACTTAAAATCAAAAATGGAGTTAGCAGGTATCACATTTCACTGACGATATATTTTTATATTGTTATACTTCTTTACTGTTGTTTCTGTTTTTTTTTTCTTCTTCAAACGAAATAAACTATTTTCTCTTTAAAGTTGCTTTACTTTTATGGCACTAATTTGGCGTACTCAAATAAAATTTGAAATTTTACGTAATATTATGTTATTTGTCGTTTGAAGACAATATCATTTTATCTGTAACAACAGCCTACCACGAATATTTAAACTAAATAATTAATAATATCCATAGACCAATAATTTAATTTTAAATATTAAAATCTCTATTTCATCAGAAAAGTAGAGCTTTACTTTTGTCCGATGTATACCTGGCATTTTCAGAGCTATACCAAATTTTGTAGAGAAAAGTCATGTAAAAATCTAAAACTGAAAACCTACTTTGGCACTTGATGGGTCACCCTGTATACAGGTATATTATAGATATTTAGAAGTTGTGAGTGGATAGGTCTTTAAAAGACTCCTAGAGCTACAATTTTACTACAGAATGTCTCAAATAAATAAAAAAAATTAAAGTTGTATTTTTTTAAATGAAATAGTTTTATCAATAATTATATTTTAGTGACGTTGCTTTGTTATCGGGAAATTAATTTTGTCACCAATAAAGTATTTCTATTTCTATTACATTTTTAGTTTATATGAATAAAATAAAGGGAAACTTGATTGGATATCTCACTTAAATCTTAACATTTATTTGTGATATTCTGTATCTTTTGAAAATAATTTTAAATTATTGTAAATCTTGTAGTCCTTTATAAAAACTCCAATATTTATAATTTCTAAAAATCTAATTATTTAGCTACAATACACTTGAAATGAATGCTTAACCCTGTATATTTTATTTTAGAAAATCTACATGACTGGGAATGTGGAGGACGTGCAATTCGAAGAACTAAATTTTTCTTACGGCTACGCGTGTAATTTCGATTTTATCTTTGCATGTTGGGGTATTCTCCTAACACCGAACTCAAGAAATCTTAAAAAACTTTGTATAAAAGCTTGTGTATTTCAAAGTAAATATTCTATTATTCCCCAAGTAGCATTTTTTGGACACATTTTAGATAATGTTTTCTAATAATTGTGTCTGTTTCTTGACACAAAATGGAAACGGTATGCCACAAATAGGAAACATTTTCGAAACCTATATATTTTATATGGCTTTATTACATGTGTTTCCAATGTGGTGGCACTAGCCGTTTCCTGAAATGTTTCGAAACATTTTCTGCAATTTGTATCCAAGATGTTCCCGTTTTCAGCAGCCACTGTTTCTAAATGTGAAGAAACAAAATACGTAATTAAAAAAGTCTATGTCTGTGTGGATTTGAAAATGAAAACAACGATCAACAATATCGACCTCCGCCATAATTTGTTTGTCTTAAGATCTTTGTTTTTAAGTTTTCTCGTACAAAAAATGTCCAGCCAAAAGCAAATTCATCGTTTAATTTAATAATGTACATGACGAATACATTTGTAATACAAATATGATGTGCACAAAATGTACCATATTTTTAATGTAATGTAAAATGTATCATATTTTTAATGCCCTTTCTATATATCATTATTTGTTGCTAGAAAATATTTTTGTTTGAAATATAGATTTTTATTTCTATATCATTTCTCTGAAAATAAAAGTATATAAATCAATGTAAGTAGAACGCGTTCTTATGAGTTTAAAAGATCAACATTCGATAAAAACACATCTTTAGTTAAAAACGCTATCACTAGCCAACATGGCGGAATTTTAATTCGTTATTTTATAAAATTGACATGGAGTTAGACACAAATCATCTACATTATATTATATTTGTGTCTAAAAAGAGAGAAACTCGTGTTTCGAAAATGAATCGACAATAAATGGAAACCTTGTTTCCAAAACGTTTCGACTTGTCACCTGTCAACAACGCCAGTCAAAATTTATTGTCAAAATAATTAAAAACATTTTTTTCTACAAACCTCAGTAAAATGTAATTTTTAACGCATGCTGTCAGTGCCTAAAATGTGACATTATGTCACTGATGGTAAAAGTCATTTATTTCTAGCATTGGTGCTTAAAGTAAGTCACGTGATTTACTTTTAACACTGAAACGATAATTGAAAAAAAAAATATGAAAAATCAAGCCAATGTAAAATAATTATTTACTCAAATTAAATGTACAATTAGTGAAATTACATTTGGAATAAGTTATTCCATGGCCAGTTTCATTTATAGCTGTAGTTCAAGTAGAAGTTATCTCTGACGTGAATCTTGTACCAAGATTAGAAGCAATGGTAGTATCCGCTGAGGTTCTGGATAAAATTTGACCTGCTATACTCGTTTTATTTTGTAAAGAGTCTTCTATATAACCCTCCGCTACGGTACTGGACTTCCATCCACTGTGTCGCTTAATTGTATTAAGATTAGCCCCAGAATCTGCCAGCAAACTAGCCGAGGATCTTCGGAAGCAATGTCCAGTATAAAGATGAGAATCGGGCAAATTTAGAAATTTAGCAATATTGGCAGGCATCTTACCAAATGTGTTGATTCCAAATGAAATCGTGGCACATTTATTCTTAATATATTTTATAAATATTCTTGAATGGTTGATGGTCGCTGGACGGAGAGCTATGTACTTTTTGTAATAATTCAAATATAATGTACCAGTAATAACAAATGTTCGTTCCACATTAGTTTTTGTATCTGGAATATGCACGATTAATGAAGTTCCTACATCCTCGATATTATTTAATGTCAAGTTGCATAGTTCTTCACGACGGCACGCTCCAAATATGCCTAAAATTACGGCAACTTTTTTCATAAGGTATATTTCATCCAACACTTGTGCAAGAAATTTGTCGATCTGATCTCTGGTCAATATTTTCGACTTCTTTGGACGATATCCCTCACCTTTTCGCTTTAAAAAAGCAATAAGCCTGTAATATTTGCTTATGTCCTGATTGTTAATCTTTATCATCGCCTTGACCATGGAATAATTTGACCAAAGCGTTGACGATTTCCATATTTTGGACTTTTCTTCGCAGTATGCCAAAAGTACTTTTTTTTACGGGCTGCAGCAGAATTTGTGACCTTAGAGGCCATTCTTTTGATGGCAAACAATGAGTCATCATTTGGTCACCAGCGACAATTTTAGCGATTTTTAAAAGTTTGTGTGTAGTAAACTTTGTATAAAGTTTATTACGATGGTGATTAGTTGTTCAGCTTTGAAGTGTAAAAGCGGCAGCGATAAGAAAAAGCCAGGAGTTACGTTTCATAGGTAAATAAACAGTCCACTCCAACTTTTTAGCGTTTTCTTATTGAATTCGATAATTATTCTTCAATTTCAATTAACATCTTTATGTACTTGATATGTGCTATACGTCGATACTAGTTGTACCTTTTGTTAACATTTTTATACGTTTTTTTCGTAATTAATTAGTATGATACACCATAGGCGTAGTCAAAACAATTATCAAAAAATATAAATATTGCTTCAAACAGCTAGGTTAAGAAAAATATGTGCCACGGCACTGTTTGGTGACATCGGCACAATTTGCTTTCGGGTGTTATTTGTCCTTGGATTCTTTAGTCATTATATTTGACAGAATATCAAATAAATTATGAAAACTTTTCAGGCACAAAACAGGTATGAAATCTTTGTAAATGTGAGCCACACCTGTTTCTTAAAAGTTTCGAAACATTTGTTACACCAATATCTTTATTTGTTATAGCTTATATAGCTAAACCATATTTTGATAAAATGTTACGAAACAAAAAGCGATTTATGTTAGAAACTTATCAAAAGTGTGACGAAACTGTTTCGCAATATTTCTCAGCAGCGATTTTGTTTCGATTTTGTGTCTAAAAATGCTACTTGGGCTTATTATAATGTAAAAATAAGTTTATATTAATATTATAAATCCTTTTTTCAAGCAAACCCATTTCTAAAAGATGATATTTTAAAAGAAACCTGCGGACGAACGTTAAACTACCAACTTCAGGATATAATAGAAAATTGTAGTAAACTTCAAGAACTTGAATTAGTGCATTGTGCCAGGAGGTAAAGTACTTTTAAATCTACCGAATAAAAATAAAAATGAGGGATGAGTCTATTTAATAAAGTGAATATCGGTTATAACGACATTGAACGGACCGCTTAATTTCGGTCGTTATAACCGGGCGTCGTTATAGAGAAAGAAGTAACAAATGGGTTATATATTTTTATTACGAAAAAGTGATTATGTATATCTGTTCAAATTTTCATTAAAAACTGTCTTAATAAAAAAAAATTAAAAACATGGAATATTTTCAGATGCACATATGTAAATATGTGCTTATGTATTCGCATATAATGTTATGTGAGCATGTATTGTATTGTATTGACTAAGAGTGGGTCCCATGGGGGGGCCCTCCACTGAGGCCGCGAGGGCCTATTGTGGCTCAGTTTCTACACGCTCTAATTTACAAGAGCGTCAAAGTTCACCCTCAAGACCCAGCCTCCTAATATAGGCCGTTATGTCTGAGGGCGATATGTCTCCTAGGTTTGATAGGTCTAGCATGGGTTTGCCAAACATCTCAAACCTGGTCCTGCTCCCAGCGGGGCAGGTACACATAACGTGCTTCATTGTTTCGTCATCTTCCATACAGAGTCGGCATTCGGCGTCTTCCACCAGTACCGTCCTCTGTAGGTGAGATCTCAGCCGGCAGTGGCCCGTGTACACTGCAGTGAGCACACGCGTTCCATTCCTACCGGCCTTTAGGAGTTCTCCTGTTCTATGTTTGGATGACCCTGCTAGGATTTTCTTGGCATGTTCCATTCCGGGACTGTCATTCCAGTCCCGGAACGTCGCACTCCTAACCCATTCACAGAGCCTGTCTCTTGCGAGATTTTTAGGAACGCTAAGTGTCGGTTCTGGGCCCACGAATGGCGAGCCTGCACCAATCTTGGCGAGGGAATCAGCACGTTCATTTCCCTCTAGGCCGACATGTCCCGGTATCCATATTAGCGACACTTTGTTCCTATCTCCCAGTATATTGAGTAGTTTCTTACAATGAAAAATCGTCATAGACGTGCTTTTCGTTGCCTCAAGTGCTTTCAGCGCGGCTTGACTATCCGAAAATATGCATATTGTTTTCCCGGTGTATTGCTGTTCTACCAGCAGTTGCACACAGGTTTCAATAGCATATAGCTCAGCTTGGAAGATCGTGGTGTGTTTTCCAAGACTGTGGTAGATCTCAGTCTTTGGACTGCTGCAGTAAATTCCTGCTCCAGATCCTTTTTCGTTTTTGGATCCGTCCGTGTACCAACACATTTCCGCATGTAGATGTGTAGATTCTTGTGAATTCTGGTGCTTTGAGGTAGATCGACCAGACTCCCACAGAACCTTCTCGAAGACTCTCTCTTCGCCCTTCTTATTTCCTTATTGTACTCCGCCAACGTCGCACGATAAGTTTCCCAGTTACCTGACACTTTAGCGCGGTTAAAAAGCTGCCGCACTTCTTTTCTTCTTTTGTCCAGTTTGTTGTTCCACCAAGAGGACTTCCTATTATCCTTCTTTGTTTTAAGTGGACAGTTTTCACTATAAGCCGTTATAATTGCACATCGCATTTGCTCCGCTGCAATCTCGATCTCGTCGCGATCTCTCACTTTTGCAATTGTGGGTTCCAGTAGATGCACGAGTGAGCGGTTGTATCCTTCCCAATCCGTGCACTTAGGATCCCTATATTGCAGGAGAGTTCTTTCACCTACGCTTATTTCAAACTGTATGTGTCTGTGATCCGAGCACGATGGCTCAGATGATACCCTCCAATTGGGTATCCTGTTGCTCAAATAATTAGAGCTGACCGTAATGTCTAAAACCTCTTTCCTGTTACTAAAATGCATGCCCTAGGTCTGTTTACTCCAGGGGCAGTAATTAGCCTACCCTCTGCGTCCCCAAGGCCACAAATGCGGCCTGAGTTAACCCAAGGTTCTTGAATGAAGGCGAGATGCACGTCTTCCCTCTTGAACTTTATGCCAAGGACGTTAGAGGCGGCCTTGGCATGTTGCAGGTTAATTTGTATACATTTAACTGCTGCAGCCATCCCTCCAGCAGTCAAATTTAGGTTTTGCTTCCACCATCAGGTGGCCTACGCCCCCTTTTGGTGGGAAACCTACCTTCGTTTCGCCTGCCCTTCCGGGTGGGTTTGTTCCCACCCGAGTTGCCAGGCTTCTCCGACTTTCCGGAGGGTTTAGCTTTAGGCCCTTTCATGGCCGGGTTTTTCCGTGCCACTACACTGCCTCTAGCTTTCTCCTCCTGGGTGTTACTAGACCTTGTGGCGTCAGTTTTTCCTCTGGAGGCTGTTGGATTGTTCCCACCATCTCCCGAGGTTGACGCCTTGGTCTGCTCCGTATTGGCCTCGTTCTCCTTATCTCTGGGTCGGAAGGTAATCTGGCCGAACCCAAAGTAGGCCCTGAATCCATTGTGGCGAAGGAGATCCATGGATCTTTCGTCGACCGCAAAGGTCCAGGTTTGTCCCGGCCCTGCATCACTCTGGTGGAGGATTCTCCACTCCTGAGTTAGCAGGCCGATATTCATCCTTTTAAGCCTGGTCTGCATCACATCCCCGCTGAGCCGTTCACCCGGCTCATCATCTGGAATGTAGGCTGTACAGACATGGGGTTTGGGTAAATCCCGTCCCCTTACTGCCCTGAGTTTCATGCCCTGCCATGACGAAAGGTCGTTGACCATCCTTTCTAACCACGCAGCGCTGGTCTCATCGGTACAGACCACAAGCAGCCATCCAGGCCGAATCGAGCAGCCTTGGAAGCGTACTTGTAGTCCCTCCTCAGTGATTGCATTCACTGCCTTCAAAATGGCAAGTTTCAGCAGCAGGAGTTGTTCGGCGGATACGCTGTTCTCTGGGTGGTTAGGTCGGATTACTCCAACTTATTTCCCAAGCAGCCTCCACGTAGCTTTTTGCGCCCTCCCTACGAGGCTTCTTAGCGCTCTGTTCGGGAGTACTTGCATCCGAGCGGATGCGCTTGCTAGCACTAGGTGCACCAGTGTGAGGTTTATTCTCCTCCGAGTTGATTCGTATCCCCCCGGAAGAGGTTCCCCCACTCGTCTGTGCCCTCTGCTTCTCCGCTTGCCGCTGTAGAATCGACTGCAGAGCGGTCTCATAGGGCATTCCGCCCTTGAGAAGTCTTGAGAGGAGCTTTCTTGTCGCCCCTCCAAACCTTTTCTTTTTCAGGGATAATTTCTCCATTTGCTTGGAGACCCCGAAAGGAGGTTCACCATCTGCCTTCTCAGGCGAAGGGGATCTTGGCCCCTCTCTTTCCTGATCCGGCTGAGGTGAGTTGCCTGGGGTAGGAATAGTCCCACGCTCCTTTGTTTCCCCCTCCTTGGGAGAAGGATCGGGACGGTTTAATCCATCCTCGTCATTTAGGTTTTTATTTTCTTGGTCCATATAATGATCCCACGAGTAGCAAGGGAAGAAACGACCATCACGGCAGAGCCCCGCAGTACCGTGACTAGGCATTTATGAACTGGGAGGTCGCCCGGTATCCCAGGTTAGTCGCTAGTGGTCAGGATACCCCCTGACCATCCATCCCTTTGGCGCGCACTATACCGTAGGATCTGGGGAGGTTTTTATAGTGGTACCTCATCCACGCGGCTCAGACAGTAAAGCCAAAGCCCCCATGTCTCTCCTAGGAAAGACTTACGGTATAACGGACGTTTGGTTTGTTGACATGTTAATCATAAAACAGAACAACTCAACAAAATAAATGAATAAACTAAAGACTAAACTTTTTTAAAAAAGTCAGTCAATACAGATTGTTTTTGTATTTTCTTAGAACTTATGAACGCCTTTTCAATCATATTTTCTAGATGCACTAAAGCCGGATTTACAATATCTTCCCTATCATTATTAAAAGAAATGTCTGACAGTTTTAATTGCTGAACAAACCTCTGTTATGGCTGGTGGCTGATATTCGTCAATCACCAGTTTCTCCTCCTCTTCATCACTTTTTTCATTCTCTTGCGGACCTTCCAAAATTTCTGAGTCGGTCAATTCATCCGTGGTTGTCAGAACCTCATCAACCTCTACAAAATGTTCCCAGTTTTCTTGGGTAGCAAAGTCAGCGATCGGTAATTGACTGACCCATTTTGCTAGAGGTAAGTTTTCATCTTCAGGGGGTCACTTTTGCTTTGAAGTTTAATCCACTCTGAAAGTGAAAGATTTTCCTCTTCATCAGAACTTGCGTGATCGTCCGGCAGGGCGGTAAATCCGGCAAGACCAAAACATCTTGAAATGGTCTGTTGGGAAACGTGATCCCAAGCTTGTGATATAAAACTAATGGCCTCCAAAATGTTTAATTTGTAAAGATCATTAGAAGTCTCATATTTCCCTAGGACTTTCATAAAGCGGGGATTTACCGTCTACAATAAAAGGGATTCCCCGAACTTCGGCACACAGTGGGTACAGTTCGTCGTTGCATACGTTATCGCTCGTCGTATAACCGATTACTTGGACCAATTTAAGTTAAATTATAGGTCGCTATATAAGTGCGTCGTTATATACGCAGTCGTTATAGGCAACACGTCTTCAATGTATTTAGCATAGAACTCAGTCGGGACCTTAATATGTCGTCGCTATAACCGATATGTCGTAAAATCCGATATCGTTATAAGCGATATTCACTGTACTATTTTTAAATTCATTCCTGGATTGTTAACCCTGTTAACTATATTGAAGCCCTTCTTTTGTCTAAAAACCATATTTTATATACAGGGTGTTTCAAAAAATATGTGCCATCTCTCGAGGGGAGATTACTCACGTAAAATAAGATTTATTTTTCATATCAACATAGGTCCGATTCTGCTTTGTTTTGTAGCTACAGGGTGTTCAAATCTTAATAATCTTTCAAATTATTATAATTTTCTTCCAAGTACTTTCAGTGATTCGAATGGAATTTTGAGGGTAAAAGTTACTGTAAGTGTTACATATTTTAATGCTAAAAAAGTGTTGATAATTTTATCAGGGACGTGCATATGGGTTATCACTGGAACATTTTTC